TTACACAAACCAGGACTAACAAGTTAAACTTATAAAATACTATAAACCTTTCAAATATTATTTTTAAAATACAAATAATATAAAATTAACTAAAATATAAAAGTAAGACCTAAATACAATTTAACTGTCTCTCTAACCATAGCATATTTAGGTAAGAAACCACCGTAAGTGCTATAGTCGATCAAGCAGAGAACAATACTAATGGTGGTTACATGTACACCGTGAGGAAAACTGTACACCAATTTCAAATTAAACATTGGTATTGTGTAAATTGAACTCTTTCTAACAACAACATACACTTATGTTAACTAATTACATGTACATCTCAAGGCAAAATATAGAAGGTGTGTATGGCACCTGACAAAGGTTTGAAAATTTATGTTTCCCAGTGAAGACAGTTCTAAGACTTTGTGCCTTACATGTCAAAAATGCACACAGTCCTACACTGGCATCTAGACATTCATATGCATCACAAGCGTGTGTGTTTATACTCAGCTCCTGCTAAAGTGGAGATTTTTTTATAGCATGTGGATTACGTGACACAAAAACTGCATATTAAGCTTTTTTTTTAAAACTTTGACAAAAAGGAATTGAAACCTAAATAACATAAAAATTCAAATTATAACATACATTATAATGTTAATTTCATTCACATACATTGATAGTAAAGTGGTTTAATTAAATTTGAATGTAACACAATACCATATGCAAAAAAAGGAATTTAAAAATGGCACAAGTAGATATAGGGTTAAAAGCCTTACTTGCACTTTTGGGTTTCTGCTGAGCAATCATTAAAGGTGTTTCATGGTGAAGATTATGTGGAAATGTTGAGGTATTATATGACATTTCTATATGAATTATATCATCTGTTGGTAAGGGAAGTACAATGACCTTGATAAGGCATTCTGTGATAACTTCCACCTACTAATGGTTGTAATAGTTGTATAGTATTTGTGAGAATGACATGATTAAAAGAGTGCTGAGCCATTACAATTGCTAAATTTTTTATGGGTGCCCTTTCTTTCAGTTCCACCCCCCTTTTGTACCTTGTCTTAGCTTAAGAATATTGTTTTTCTTTTGCAAGTTTAATGCATTTGAAGACAGATAATTTTCTTTCTTGATAGTATTTACATGCAAGTCAAATTTTTATGTTAATGAATAACAGCATTATGACCCCATCTTTCAATCAGTAAATCTTGAAGTAGGTTAGTGACAAGTTACTGGTCCTGGAAAGTAATAATATTTAAAAGCTTACTTACACACTTGTGTTTCTGCTGAGCAATCAATAAAGGTGTTAACCCTACCAAGATGGGTCTTCCTGTGGTCACAGGTCAAAGGCCATGTTATCACATTTGTAGACTTACAATTCAAATCTTAATATTATACATCAATTAATTTCTTAATTTAAAAGTAACTAAAAAAATAAAAAATCCCAAATATTGATTTTTGTGTGTCACATGGTATGTTGAATGCAGCACTGGTTCAAATTAGAGTTTGTGATATCCAAATACAAAGTCTATAGTTTTTTTATGAATTAAGAACTTAAATTACCCATATAGACAAGCTAGAATATAAAATAAGAACCTCCTATCTTTTCTATTTGCTGAGATATCACTACATTTAGTGAACTAAACACAGTTGACCCACCCACCCTTTTCCATACACCTACTTCTGTCTATGATGTGTGAATAACCAATCAAAAGCTCCAAATGTCTCCCCATGTGGTTCTCTGAGCCTCTGCAAAGCATTTACATGGGAAACCCTTTCTTTTCATGATAGATTCAAAGTGGTAAGATAAAAACATTACTGAGCTTGAAAAATCATATTTTTTTTAGATCCAAGTACAGCTTAATTACTAAGCCTGATAAATTATAATGGAATTCTGTGGTATTTATACAGTAATTTATGATTTTTTATTCCAAAATGCATATATGAAACCTAAAAAAATAGTTTTACATTCTCCACATGCAAAATTTAATAAGGCTTAGCAAATTATGGCAAGCAGCAAATGAGTAAAAAGTTCATAACTAGAAGAGATAATTGTTTTCTATACTTCTTTATTTATTGTTCCATGTTGTAAGAAAAATAACTGAAATTTGTAAATAGTAATAATGTATATACACATATAATGTATTATAACCAAAATGTGACAGTATTTTACAAAATACTAGTCCACTAGAACAAAGGTCACATTGTAAAGGCCAGTTCTATATTATTAGATACAATAACATGAGTGCACATGCACCACGTCATTCAACTTCTGTAATATTAGTCAGACACTGCTAAAATGTCAATAAAATAAAATTGATAAATTTCTCTACATGTGTAATGTTATAAGATTTAAGCTATTTTGGCTAAATATTTATGACTTTGCATGATAATTTGTAGTAATTCTAGAATGAAAAAAGTGTAATTTATAGCTATTTCCTATTTTTTTTATGGTGTTAATGAGGTCGGCCGAACTGACTAAACTCATACAGAGATACAATAGTGAAAGTAACAGATAAAATATAAAGTAGTTTCTAAAAAAAATAAATAAAAAAAAGTTGGATAATTATCTGGAGGTTGTAAAGATTTTGCATGTGAAATTTCTGATGAATACAAGTATTTTAAATCTTAAAATCAAAATTACTTCGAATGTTGGATAGTCAACATTCAAAAATAAAAAATGCACAAGCAAATAATTAATTAAAAATGTTACAACTTAATTAAAAAATCTGATACTTTGTGTACAAATGCCTTGACAAGTCTACTGATGATTTGCAAAATTTTGTGAAGATACATGTACATTTTAAAAAGTTACAGTATAACTGCTTTATGGTTACTTTCAGGAATATGGATTGGGTGGAATCCACCCACCCATATTAAAAGGGTTAAAAGGTGAAAACTACTTGCAAGTACAGAGTTATCATACAACACCTCAAAATATATATACACTGTAAAACCACAATTTGATTTGCTTCAAAAGTACATGAAACAAGTAATCACCTTTTATTGTATATTCACATTACACATGTATTTCTTGCACCAGTGCTCCAGATAAGATGTGTATTTGCATAAATGTTTAAGAAAAAAAAAAGACAGAGAAGTAGTAGTAGTTAGATATAGCATTGTGCATACCAAATATGGAATAACATGTGTATTTGAAAGGGGGGAAAAAATGTGTGCATAATAAAACAAATACAAAGCCTAGGAGATCTCTTTACCATAAACTGATTGATGAATTATACAGAAATGACCCATAGTTCAGGGTTACTGTTGAACATAAAATTATGCTAGCCTAATTATATTAGTCAATACCAAAAAAATTGCTTACTTTATTGATTTTATGCTGTAATTGACTCAGGTAGTTCTTAACCCCTTACCTACCAGGACCATTTTGTCTTATCATGAGGACAAAATCACATTTGTGAGTTGCAAAAATTATAGAGAACTTATCTTTTATTGGATTTTAGATTTTATTTTTTGTAAATAGTGGCATAACATTCAATTATTTGTACTAAATTGTATTATTTAATGAAGTTTGAAGAGAGAGTGAATAGAAAAATCCCAAAATACATTTAAGACTCTAAATAAGCACCCTCTAAGAAAAAAAGTTTTTTCAACATGTTTTAAAATTTTTTCCTTGTACTTTAGCAATGGTCCTGCCATCTGTGATTGGTATTTAAACCTTTTTCTAGTCTGTTTTCTTTATAAAACAGCATCTCGGTGTGTTAAACTTCAGTTGTAAAACTTTTAGTGAATCCTAGTCGAAGGTGTCAATTACAGTACCATGTTATTCCAATCGCTGTATTT